CATGCAATCTATACATATACAAAAAAAAAAAAAAGCAACAAGACCTCCTCCCAAACCAACTCCAACCGGTGCTGCCTTTCATGTTGACAGTGTCAGCTTAGAATGTATGTTATTATGCAGCTCTTTCCCCATGCTAAAGACACTTTCACCCCCGAAGGTTTCCTGTGACTATGCTCTCTATTTTCTTCTTCTTGTTTTGAAGAACCGGGATACTTTTCATCTAAGAAGCAGCCACAGCTTCAGCTTGATACTCTGCCTCGAACCCAGCTGTCAGGCATTATAGTCAATCCCTTGATCTTTGGTTCTGTGCTTGTCTTGAGAAGTATACAATCACATTGTACTGCAAAATCACATTTCTGCCGTCAGAGAAAGAGGTGGGAAGACAGGGCTACTTCTGGGCCACCTTTTACACGACTCCTGTCTTTCTCTTCTTGACCTCTCCTTGTAAGCCCCTTCCCCTGATATTGCTCTTTCCTTCATTTCAACATTACCTCGGAGAAGATCATCTGCCCAACAAACTCACTGCTACACCTGTAACAATTGCCTTTCATTTACCTTGGCCATGGATTTATTCTGTATCATTTCCTTACTTGATGCAAAGATTCTCTTTAGTGTCACTACAGAAATTAGGTGTACCTTGGACATTTTCTCCTCCTCAGGCAGAAGATGAGAAATTTTGAGGGAATGAGACTGAAGAAGAGGAACACGTTTTCTATAGGGAGAAACCTACAATCCTGCTTCCATCTCAATCAGATTTCCTGTCAAGTTCTGAGTTTCAAGTTTATTTAAGTTCAGTAGCATATAGGCCATACACCATGTCAAATTTTAGAGTTTAAAAATACGTTAAAACAGAAATTCGCCACATCTACAAGACAATTTTTGTAAGGACTGCTCAATAGTAGTTTCAATCTTATGGTATCTGAGAAGGTTGAATACTTCTATAGCCATTTTTGGGAGAATCTCTGTCTTGCTACCACATATTCCAGAGAGTTAAAAAAAAAAGTGGTAGTACAGCATATCAAGTTCTAAAAGGGGATAGTCACAGTAACATTAGTCAGGGGATTCTCCCCCCACCCCACACTTTCAGTCTTAGAGGAAACTTCTCATTTTTTTGCCAGTGGTTTTTGTCCATTTCTCTAAAACTCTCAATGCTGAAAAAAGAACTGTTGCTTTCTTGCGGGAAGTAGGAAAAGTGGTAGCATTGGACGGGGTTGTTGATTGCAAGCCTATAGAGAGGAAATCCCTGAATTGAATTTGAGTTCTGCTTCTGAATGGGTTTAACAAGGTATTTTTCCTCTGTATTTCCATGCTACTTTTCACTTTTCGTTTCTCTCCCCGCCCCTCGCTTCCTCCAGTACTGCTTTCTGCAGCCTCACAAATTCAGACTGACCAGCTTCATCTGCATGCCTCTATAATTTAATGAGCAAAGTTAAAACGTTGTTCTTGACTCCCAGCGGTAACACTCTGTGGGTGGCGTAGAGGCGCAATTAAGTCCATACATATGTCAATGAAAGCGACATAAAGGAAGTTGGAGGGTGGGGAGAGGCATCTTCTCCCTACCATAACCCGCACAACAATGGCCATTCTTCATTAAAGGTGTCAAAAGGTGAGCAGGGAGACACATGCAAAGGCAGAAGGATGTATTCTTAAAGGGAATCATTTTAATTGGCTGGCTGGGAATAAGTGATAATAGAGATTTTGTCCATCTGTTTTCTTTTTGTTTTGGTAAGTGCGGAAATGAACACACTTAGAAGAAAAAGAAATGATGCTTTAGTATTCCCTGCTAGATATTTAATAACACTATGGGTTGCTAACTTAAAGCTTACAGATAGATCAGATTGTATACTCTCTCTTTCTCTTCCTCCTTTTTTCAGTATTGTAGGGCAGTGGTCCCCAACCGTTTTGGGGCCGTGGACTGGCTGGCAGGAGCGAGCTCCATGCGTGGGGAACTTGTGTGCATGGGTGCAAGCATGACATGCCCACCACGAGCGTGACATGGCCACCACGAGTGTGACACGTCCCCTCGCAGGCATGCGGGGAGTGGAGATCTGTATCCACGGCCCAGTTCCGGCAAGCCCATGGACCGTCCTGTTGACGACCCGTGTTGTAGGGGACTCAAGACTTGGAGGGTAAAAGCATCACAACACTGCAAATCCTCATTTCATTAGCTGTCACACAAAGGGTGAGAAAAACCAGATTTCTTTTTCCTCCTTGTTTTGAGATGGTGAAGATTTTTCCTGTGTTTTCCTCAGAAGAAAAAAAAATGTGCGCAAATCAAGCCCTGATGATTTATGTCATTCTCAGCATTGGAAAAACGTAATAACTCTTGCTTAGCTGTCTGGGTGACTCAGATCACATTGGGTTTACTTTGTATTTTGTGCTCACTCTTAGATCCATCTAATGGATAAATGTCTTCTAAGAAAGCAACTTATAACTGTGTTCAGAGACAAGGGGTTTTGCACAGATTAAAAGTATAATTTGTGCAAATTATGAAAAACACAACTCTCCCCCCATTATAGTAATGCTGTAATACACCAGAACCAAAATCTCTCAAGGGAGTTGACAAATGCTTGCAGTGTAGTCTTGAGATGCTGACATAGCCGATTTTTCGAGAGAGAGGAAAAAAAAAAGAGCGCTTAAATTTCTTTCCCTTCCCTAGTCAGGCCTTTTTTTTACTAGCATCCAAAATGAAACCACAGATTTTTCGAGAGAGAGGAAAAAAAAGAGAGCCATTAAATTTCTTTCCTTTCCCTAGTCAGGCCTTTTTTTGTGTGTTTAGTCGTTTAGTCGTGCCTGTCTCAAACAGAATGGTGTATGTTTTGTTGCTTCCACATTCCTCATTTTAGTAATGCTTTTACCTAACAATTTAAATACAATGCTATTAATTCTTTTTAAATATTTGAGTAATATTTGCCCTTTTTAGGTTTTAATATTGTATTTTGAATGAAGGAGAAAGGTGGAGTAATCAATCAAATCAATCAATCAATCATAAACTAAACTAAACTAAATCAAATCAAATCAAATTTTTAAATGCCATTGCATAAACATCCTTTGGTAGACTGGCTTCCTGTGGGCTATTGTGAGAAGCAGGACATTAGACTAGCCAGGCCTTTGGTCTGAGCAATTGGGGCATTTCTAATAACCTGTCTTGGTCCTCAGTCCTACTGCCGCTCCTCATCTACATTCAATACAAAGCAAAGCAAAGCAAAGCAAAGCAAAGCAAAGCAGAGCAAAGCAAAGCAAAGCAAAAAGCAAAGCAAAGCAAAGCAAAGCAAAGCAAAGCAAAGCAAATACAAGAAGACTGATTCTGGGCCACGGTGTTCTGCTCATTTTTCTTTTGGAACCAAATCCGGTTTGTGAGCATGAGAGGAGGGAGAGGGTCCCTATCCTTCTATGAAGCTGTTTCAAGCCTCTTTCAGGAGAACTAGGCAGAAAGCGTTCTTTTCTCGCCTCTGCAGAGGGCTAACAGCCTAGCTGTGGGAAACAAATATTTAATTCTGCTGCGATGCATGGAGCACGGCACCCGGTTAACCCTCCAAAGCTCTAAAGAGCTCTGGAAGCTGGGAGCCATCATGAAGTAGCAAAAGGCATGCTCTGCTCTCTAAAGAGTGACAAAGATGGGACAGGTTTATTCAAATCAGGAAGCAGAAATGGAAGAGGAGTCAAGCTGGAATATATTACCATTTACAATTTTGTGGATTTAGTTTAGTTCTTCACTGTGCATCCATTTGGCACCTCGTGCTTTTAAAAATGCTCCTTCACCCCCTTGGAAAATATTAATGGACTCACATCTTAGCTAAACTGCACCATGTGCGCACACACACACACACACACACACACACACACACACACACACACACACACACACACACACACACACACACACACACACACACACACACACACACGAGAGAGAGAGAGAGAGAGATCGGCTTATGGAAATGTGATTCTATAACTTTTATCAACTTAGTTTTGATATTTGGATAGTTTTCTTTCCTGCTGAATTTTGCACAACCATCTAAGAGGCTCAAAGGGCTGTAATTACCATGCTTTAGCTGATAAACTTCTAAGGCATATTATGCTTTCTCTTACTATCCCATTGGCACATCCTGGGGGAAGCGATGGAACACCTGCAATGTTTGTTTTTAGTCTCTTTACAGACACTTCCAGAATTGGCAAGGACAGTTTCCTGACTGAAATTCTGAAATACCACCATCAGCCCATGTATGCCAGCCTTCCTCAAGCTGCTGCTGTCCAGATGTGCTGCACTACCATAGCCATAAACCTCAACCAGCATGGCTAATGGCTAGGGATGACAGTAGGTATAGTCCAAAGCAGTGGTGTAGGAATAAAACTGGAAGGTGCTCATTATGACATCCCTGACATCCAAACCCATCATAAAGAGAGTAAAAAATGGAAACAATTGGATCAGTCCATAGCAACAAATGAGGTGCAGATCTTTTGTAAAGCTTATGACTCTTAATTGCCCATTCAAGACCCAACCACTATTCTTTGCAATACACTAGGGGTAGCTTGGTTCCTAGGAAAATCCACTTCTTTTGCAGCTTCAGTGAGCATTGTGGCCACACACAGATGGAACAGGGACATTTGATGGATGTGGTGTATGACCTTATGATTCTTTCTGCTTAGAAAGGCCTGGGACTTCTATCTCGTAAGCCCTGGCTCCCTGCATTCTGAATGACATTGGGCTTTGGAGCAGTAGCGTAGTAGAGTAGGGCTTGCAGGTTTCTGAATGGCAAGGACAACAATGTCCTATTATCACCTCTCTCCAAAGTACCTGCTCTCTCTGAGCTTAAGTCACAATGCTCACAGTACCTGGGATGGTAGTAGATTTCCCCAGGAACAAGCTATGGTTGAAAGCTACCTCTGTTGTACTGCAAAGCATTTAGTGATTTGGCTTTGAGTAGGCCATTAAGAGCTGCAGAAGTTGCACAGAGCAACAGCAACCATATGGAGATCTTTTGGAACTGAGCGCCTACCTGTGTAGTGGATCACAAATCCTGTGTTGCTGACGGAGGCGTCACTCCGGAAGGCCAGGAAGAGGTTATTGCTGCTGCTTTCAATCCTTTCCGGTAACTGAGTGTCATAGAAACTCCCAATCAGGGGGCTAAGGGAACTGGGACCATCATAGATGTGCAAAAAATCATAGCCTGGTTCCAGATTGAAGCTGACAGAGAAGGAGGAGGAGGAGACAAAGTGAGATTTTTCTGCCAGTCCACCTTCCTTTCCATGCCTGTGTGTTAAGTGTTTGCAATACATGGTGAAGGTACAATTGGATGGGGCCCTGCCTGCCTCCCACCCTGAAGTTTTGATGCCCTTCAAGTCTACTGATTGCTCCTCAATGTACACAGCAAAGCGCTTGCATTTAACTTTCCTATCAAGGCTCAGGGCTGGTGACATCACCAGCTTGCATGGGTGGAACTTTGTGCAAGAGGATTTTGGCCAACAGAAGGAAATTTTCTCATCCTCCAGACAGATAAGGAAAAAAAGTACTGCAAGCTACGCATGTTCTGCAGCCCGAACAAAGTCCAGGAAAAGAAGAACATCAGATCACCAAAACTTTTCTAACAGATAACTGCATCATCCAAAACTTGGAAAAGTTTAAGAATAAAGCTCCCAGATTCCTTCAACCAACACGTCTACTGGATTATAGGGGTTGTAAGTCCACACAAGCAAGCTTTTGTTATAATCCAGGGAGAATTCTTGATGGGAAGAATTTGCCCATTGACGAGTGAAAAGAAGGCAAAAGTGAATTCTTCAAAACAAAAGCAGTCACTTCTTGAGGTTTTACATCTCAGGACCATTCTTCCCTCCCCACATTCCCATTACCTTTTAGAAACGGAAGTGAAAGGCTTACATCTGAAACACCAGGGCAATGACGTAATCAGGAGAGACCGTCAGCTTCCAGTCACACTCCTTTCCTGGTGGATAAGGTTCTGGGTAGTTTGGTGACAAGATGACCCCAGATGGCCCAGTAAGGATCCCACCGCAGGGAGCTGAAAGAGAAGGGAAAGTGGAGAAGGAGGACGTATGCCTGAGGTTTGCCCTTCACAGTCTCTTCGCAGACACAACTGAAATGCACCTGTTTCTGGGACTGGATAACCATACGTGGCCTCAGAAAAATGGCTTCAACTAGACCTTGGAACTGCTCATACTCAAACTGCCAGTCCCAGATATCTCCCAGCTGCCCAGAATCGCAACCCTTTCAAGCTGTGCTATTATCTGACAACTTTAGGGACTGTGTGGCTGACAATGGGATCTATAGGTATACGTAATGTGTACAGCATGATGATAGGAAGTGCTCCTCAAGGAAGCAGTCTTGATGGCTGATCCCTCTAGATGTGCCATTAGAGTTTTTTTGGATTCCAACTCCCAGAATTCTCCAGGCAGAATTCTGGGAACTCCAACCCACAGCCCTACACCTTACAGATGCCAGTACGTATTTCACTCACCTGGCACAGGGCCTGTCTCAGAGACCTCCTTCTTTAACAACAGGAAGTAGGCCTCCATGTCTCGGGCCTCTTTCCTGTTGTTAATGAACAAAAACAGAAGCTGCTGCAGTATTGCCTGGGAGTTGTAGTCTCACTGCCCTTTGAGCTCCCAAAGAACTACAATGCCCAGAAAGCAAAAATTCAAAAAAAAAATCTTCCTTTTGTCCCTCTCCATAGCACTTTTTCCCTTTAAGAGCTCACACATGATCTGGCCTGGGAGCACATTTCCCAAACCATCTGCTAGCTCTCAGTAGGGTCTCTGACCAGCTGGCAAGCTGGCAAGTTACGAAGTCAGTCGTTCAAGAAAGCGGAATCTCCCAAACTGTCCTCCATGGAAAGCAGAAAGAGGCAGCGCGGGAGAAAGCACTTTATTTTAAGTGCTTACATTTAAGTTAGGTTTAGAAAGAAAGGAAATTAATTAATTTCTGTTGCCTAGGATCACAAATTACAAACACCAATTAAGTACAAGGAGATGGCATTGACAGCGAACATTGAATTATGCAATTTGCACAAAATGTGCAATGCGTGCAAATTGTACAAAACTACAAGAAATTTTGCTTCCTCTCATGGCCTCATAAGAACCGTTATATGGTTTATTTACATCTCATCATTCAGCTCAGTCTTCTCTGCCTGCTCTGCATGGGTCCCCTTGTGTGCTCTGTTTCTCAAGAGAAAATGGCTTTAAAGTACGTTCAGTGCAAATTTCAATAGGAAAAACCCCCACTCCCTGTCTTGCTGTTGGGTTCAAGTGAGGAATCTCAGAGAGGTTTCAAATTCCTAAGAGTCTTGTAGAACTGAGGGAACCTAAATTGCTGGGAATAAGAGCCTTTGCAAATACTCTTCACACCCATGTTCCAGAGCAATACATTTGGTAATAGCAAATCCATCCTTGGGGCTCAGCTTCTTTCTTTCCTCCTAGATCTCAGGAGGTTGACTGCAATGACTCCACAATCTTGAGTGGATTGAGTTAAACATCTGTACCTATACAGGTGGGAGGGTCAGGCTGCCAGAAAAACCTGTTCTCAATCTGCACACAGTTGATCTTGGCTTCCCCTTGCAGGACATAACCGGGATCACACTGGAAAACAATGGAGTCCCCAGCTTCTTTGCTGTCGCCACTACGGCTTCCATTCTGTGGAATGCCTGGATCATTGCAGGAGGTCGCTGTGGACACTAGAAACAGAAACCAAGGAGGAAAAGTGAACGAAGGCAACAGCAGGTTCCATATCTCATCAACATCACAAGGATTCTAGGCCTCAAACGCACAAGTGGCAATCTAAATCCGGGAAGCAGCCTAAATTCAAGCTTGTTTTTCATGATAAAACCTCTCACAAAGTAACTTACAGAGTGCGTTACAACAACAACAACAGCAACAAATTAAACCATGAACACACAAAGCAATGTGCAATATATAAACTATTAAAATGACAAATACAACTCATAGACATAACTGTAGTGTTCTAGAATTTTAACCAAAGGCAAAACAAGCAAGCAAGTAAGCCAAAAAAAACAAAAAAACTAAACCAACACATTTTATCAGATGCAATTCTGCTGAAGATAAATGAAGTGGGAAATACGTAAGGAAATCAACACATTTCATGATGAAGTGAACTGAGATGCATCTTGCAGCAGGAGAAAAAAAGACCCAATAGCCTTCTGGTATCCCATTCCAGAGCCACCACAGCTTGGCCATTGATCTCACAGGGTGGCGCTTGCTCTCCAGATTTATTTATTTCCTGGTGGCGGGTGTCCAGGTTATTGGAAAATGTATATACAGGCGTTGTGCTTCGTTGCCTTTTCATTTAGCGATGACAGTTCAAACACATTATATTCATGCTACCCCAATCCAACATTTCTGGACCGTGACTCCCAAACAAACAAACAAACGGGTGGATCAGAACTTCTGCCGTCCATTGGTGTTTGCTATTCCCAAACATTGTCATATACAATTCTCAGTTCAAAACATGTTTGTTTGTTTAATTTGTGTCCCACTCCCATTAGTGTTACAGCACCGCACTATTTCAATATATGTTAACGATGTGTGTGTGTTTGAAGACATACAGGAAGGAAGGAATGTGTTCTGAGTACCTGAAGGAAAGGCCCTCTACCTACATATATATCTTCCCAAGGGCAATTAACTTTTCTCTGGGCCTGGGTCCCCATCACATGGAGATGCAGGAGAAGGTCTTCTCTTCTTCATTTGTGGAATTCCCATTTTGTAGCATTTCAAGCAGCACCAATACTGACATTGTTTTATCAACAAATTAGACCCTGACTCCTAACTAATTTGTGCAACTCTGACATAGTGTACGCTATTGTTGTTATGTGCTGTCACATTGCCTCTGATTTATCATGCCTATGACTTATTGACCTCCAAAATGTCCTATCATTAACAGCTGTGTTCAGCTCCTTCAAACTCAAGGCTGTGACTTCCTTTATTGATTCAATCCATTTTATGTTTGATATTTCTCTTCTTTCCTTCTGCCTTCTATAACATTATTGTCTGTGGACATGGTTTTAAACTATTTTAGAATTTGTTTCCTATTATTTTAACTTATGTTTGATATTTCTTTTCTTTCCTTCTGCCTTCTATAACATTATTGTCTGTGGACATGGTTTTAAACTATTTTAGAATTTGTTTCCTATTATTTTAAACTGCTTTCTTGCCTGTAGTTCATTTAGAGATCTTTCTGTATAGGGTGGAATATAAATATTTTATTAATAAATAAGTAAACAAATCTTTTGTTAAAAATTTAAAAAAAAGGCTTTTAAAATATGCTTTTTAAGGGTAAAAAACCACGCAGTTCTTAAGGGTGTTGTGAAAAGTGCATGTAACACAGGTCTGACCAGAAACAGAGAGAGTCCTCATGGGGATTACCACTGATCCCTACTCTGACTCCCATTGTTACAGTTAAGGGGCAACATGATGGTGTTCACAATAGCATGAGGTGGGTGCCACATTCTCACCTCAAGCCCCGGTGTTTGCACTTGCCTGGTTGAGTCTGCACAAACCGGGATGCACACTCAAACAGAGATCCGTACTTTCCCAGATGACTTCTGTTTCTCCAGTTTAGGAAAAAAAAAAAACCCTGCAGGCAATGGCAAATTCAGGTCTGTCCCCTACAGATCAGCTTGATGTGTAATTGCCAACATTCATGTTTACTTACGATGCCTAGGCATCTGCTGATCTCACATGGCATTTTGTTATAATCCTCCGTCAACGGTGTGCTCTCAAATAAACTGTACTGCCGGCAGATTTCTTCCAGTGAATTACAGAAAAGGATTTTGTCTCCAGGTTTCAGAAAGAGTAGCAGACCTGACCTTTTTCCAGGAAGTAGTAAAATCTCAACCTTGTCTTAAGTGAAAAATTGCTGTAATTCTTTTTATGTTATTCTATGACTTTTTAAAGTCATAGAACTGTGGAACAGAAATAGATTCCAAGAGGCATTGACTCCATTGCCCTGCCTAAGCAGAACATCTGGGGCTGAAGCATCCTTGCCAGGTGGGTGGCCATGCAACCTCTGTTTAAAACCTCCAATGAAGGAAGTGGTCCATTCCACCAGCAAACTCCCCTTCCCATCAGAAAGTTCTTTCTCGTGTTTAATCAAAATCTCCTTCCTGGCATTATGTTTCAAATACCTTGGGTCTAGAGCACAGAAAACAGACCTGTTTCATTTTCCTCTTGACAGCCCACCATCCATATGAAGATAGCTATCTTGTCATATGATGTGAAGGGTCTTGACCTTATGTGGAGAATATCCACAGACAGCAGACTTCTGTCTTCAGAATGGTGGAGTAAGGTCATCACCTGTATCCTGCTCTGATTTTTTGTGCATCTAAATAGCTCAGTTGTTAAAGGTGACAAAGCTACACCTGTATCATTTATTCCAGCAGTTCTTTGGTCTAAATGCTAAGGCCATATAACTGGAAGCTTTGATGTATCATAACCCAAAGCATGAATATCAAAGCATAAGAACTAGTCTAAGCTTTATCTTAGCCGTTTCACACATTTGATATATATTTTAAACTCTCCCCTCCACCTTATTCTCTAGGCTAGTGGTCCCTAACCTTGGATAAGCCAAGTGTTCTTGGGTTACAATTCCCAGAAGAATCTACCAGTAGCTGGGCTGCCCGAGGCTTCTGGGAGATGCAGTCCAAGATCACCTGGATTACCCAAGGTTGGCGACCACAGCTCTAGGCAATACTGGTTTTTTCCCGTAGAACCATTTACACTCAATGCCAGTGAGAAATACTATGTTAAAATGTGTTTGGTTATTTATGTACGTGTTTATAATAGGAATAGATTTATATTTTTTACTGTTTTCATTTTTATTTGATCGTATTGGATTTTATGTGCTTTTAAATGTTCTGAATGCCAATCGGCCATAGTAGTTGTCCTGTCCCAAGCTTCTCAATTATATGCAATTCAATTTCGTGTTGCTCCTCAGCCTTTTGGCTAAGATCAAGGGTAGTGTGTATGTGTAATTCAGAGTGCTGGTTTCCTAAGGAGTTTGCTGAATCATGACAAGGGTGAGAAACGGGCGTTCTGCAGCCAGCTATCTAGAACTGTGACATCTGAAGATCTCTATGAGATGAGACTAGGCGCCTTCTCCATCCCTCCGCACCTCCAGACAGACATCGGTTGAAATCCACGAGTATGTCGCAACTAAAGTCGGGCTAATGAATCAGTTTGGTGAGTCAACACTTTATAGTCCCACTAATTCAATGGGCCTGCTCTGATAGAAAGCTACTAATGGGCTTCAGCTAATGTGTCTTGTTAGACCTACCTGAAAACTGAATGGCAAAGCCTTGCTTGCTGGTAAAGAAATCAGTGTTGAACTGGAGGACTACTGAGCTGAAGGTGCTGTGGACATCGCTGGGCAAGATGGAACCACTCACTTCCTTCAGGAGGATCCCTTTCTCGACCGGCCCGTCCCAGATCCTCAGAACATCATGGAACTCTTCTGTGTGGAAGACCATGAAATGGAGCCTGCGTTGGGGGCGGGGAGGGAAGATGGTAACAATAACAATAACAATAACAATAACAATAACAATAACAATAACAATAACAATAACAATAACAATAACAATAATAATAATAATAATAATAATAATAATAATAATAATAATAATAATAATATGTTCTATCAAGTCTATTTCAACTTACAGCAACCCTTTCTAGGGTTTCCTAGGTAGATTGTTTCCGATTCTCTTCTTCTGGTGGCACCAGAAGAATTCAGTTGAGAATTCAGAAAAATTTGCACAATTCTGAAGAGCACAGAACGGTCAGATTTACTCTTCCCTAATGAGGGCTGCATCTCACTCTATGAAAGCTTATGCCAAAGAAAAATTAATAACCTTAACATTATTTGTTGTTTTTGCTGCAGCAGAGTAATAAAACTACCCATGGAAAAAAAATGTAAAAAAGTAATGACTCTATTAAGTTATGTGCTGTTAAATCATGTTTGACTTATAGCAACCTAAAAGGGTTTTCAGGGTCGATGAGATATTTGTAGAGTGGTCTCAGCAGTGCCATCCCTCAATGAGTTTCCATGACTGAGCAGAGACTCAAAGCAAGTTCTTTTGAGTCCTAGTCTATCACTCTGTCTACTACACCACACTGGCTCTAATAAAAATAACTGTATGCTATCAAGTCAATTCTGAATTATGGCAACCCTTTCCAAAGTTTTCAAGATACAGAGTACTCAGAAGTGGTCTACTATTCCCTTCTTCTTCAGGCCTTCCTGGGACTGTGCAGCTTGATCAAGGCTACACAGGCTGGTTTTTCTCTTCCAACTCTTGACCTCTAGCTCTGCATCCAGGTGCCCAACGGACTGCTAGGTACGATCTCTTTGACTTCTTCTTCAGTTCCCCCATACAGCCTGCTGACATGTGACTCTAAGGAATCAGAAGCAAGGCTGTTTTTCCATGGTAGATGTTCCTCTCCACAAGAGAACGTTTTTGTTGATTGCGTGGAGCTTAGATAATTCTTAGTGGTTTCAGAAATAAATACTTCATCCCTCTTCAGGCATAGGAATAAGTTACATATCACTCATAATAAATTCTCTCTTCAGACATTTTATGCTTCTATTTTCCTGTTTCTGAGTAGAAAAATCAATCAGCCAAGCTGATACTATTTTAGATGACTATTTATATTTAACTAGATTAGATTTTGGTTCCCCCCCCTTAATTTATTATCTATTGTTGATCTTGTTGTCCGTTTATACATTATATGTTTGAATATTTTCTTTTACTGCAAACTGCCCTGAATAGTGATTGTCACTAAATAGGGTGGAATAAACAAACAAACAAACATCAAATAAACAAACATTTCATATACAGGAACATTAGTCCTCCTAAAATATAAAAACTTGTAACCATACAAAGTGCAATTAAAGAAAGATATTACAGCTACATTCTAAAATATAAAATCTAAAGAATATAATTTATAACCTTAAGCGACTGTTACTTTGACACACAAAAGGAAGTTTTAAAATGAAAGTCTTTCACCCAAAGAATTACGCCAGCATAAGAATAATGGGTTGTAGCCCATGATGCCTATTTCTCCATTCTTTCTCTTTCTCTGCCTTGAAATGGACTGTATCTGTATGGTTTTCTTCTGTCAAAAAATCTATTTGCAGTACTAGCTTAGATCTGTCAGCATCATACTGTTGTTGACACTATGATGCTTTGGTAGCAGAAAACCTCTCTTCTGCAATACTTGCTGTTAATCAAAATATCCCTACCTTGCCTGCCTGAGAACATTATCTGGCCTTGGCTGGTGTCCTCCTGTACTAGCAGATGCATTGTTATCAGAGACTTTAATCATTTACCTTTTTTTTTGAAGTGATAGTTTCTTATATATGAAATGTAGATCAAATAAATCCATATACAATAGTATCAGCTATTTGATTGACTTTTCCACTCAGAAATAGGAGAACAGAAGCACAAAATGTCTACTTCACCATGAGTGATATAAAACTTATTTCTGTGTCCAGCACAGGGAAGAAATATTCTTACAATGATACCTGGATGAATATTTCTATCTGAAGGTGCTAAAAATTATCTATTTGAGTTCCCTGCAAGCAACAAACACCTTCTTTTGTAAAGAGAAATGTCTGTCATGGAAGATCAGCCTTTCTTTTGATCCCTCAGAGTTCATATGTTAGCAGCCTGTATGGGGGGAATGAGGAGGGGGTTAAGGAAATGTTGGTGAACCTCTGACATTGCAGCCAGCTAAGACTGCCTCACTCCCCCTCCCCAATCTTGAAATCTGTCATTCAGTGAGGGTTCTGAAAGTACAGTGGTGTCTTGCAAGACGAATGCCTCATGGGACGAAAAACCTGCAAGATGATTGGTTTTTGTGATAGCTATGGTGCCTCGCAAGATGGTTTCTTCTATGGCCATACTTCACAAGATGGGTTTTTTTTTTCAAGACCGATGCCTCACAAGACAAATAAATTTCATTCGTCTTGCGAGGTTCCCATAGGGAACCTGACAAGCTGATTTTTTTGCCAGACAGTGATTCTCGCGAAACAAATTACATTCATCTTGTGAGGCACCACTGTAATCTGTTAAATATCCCTCCCACCTCCAAGTTCACAACTGTTTTCATGGTTCCTTATGGAACATACAAGCCTATGGGATAAAACATTATTATGGGAAATTTTAAAAATAGCATAGCTAGAGAAATGAGATTTCTCTCTCTTTTTTTAATGAAAAAGGAGGCATAACTGGACTGGCACAAAAAGATTCAGTTCAAACAGAGTCTTCAATTCAAATAGAGGCTTTAAGGCCAAGTCGGGAAGGAGGCTGTCAAAGTGAAAAGCAGTGAAGTTTTGTTTAAAAAAAGTTTTCTCTGAACTTGAAGATGAATTGAACAGATACTTCTATTTTCTTTAGAATTGACCTTCTTTCCCCCTTGTTAGGTGGCGGCAGTAGTGTGACGCTTGTAATATTTTAATTCCATCTTTGAAAGAATGGGTGCTATGGAAATGCATTATATATGCCAAACAACCACACTGTTATTAATTGGCTGTTCTTCCAAGTGAGCAAACACACCCAGCTCCACACAAGTTTGGATACAACAAAGACTTAATGCAAAGTCACACAGTTGTCAAGAACTGAACATATTGTGTTTACCTTATGCCAGTGAAGCATAAGTTCTGGTACTCCAAAGCAAAAGTATTATTAATGTGCACCCCCCAAAGAGAGATCTCTCTGCTGGTGGCGGCCTCGTGGGAGCAGAACCAGCTGGAGTCTTTTAGGTATGTACCTACAAAGGAGTTCATCATGACTGGCAAGTGGCATTCACTTTCATAAGATGTTGTGATGGCTGCCAAATTGGACAGCTTCCAATAGGGATTTGATAGATTTGTAGAGATTGTGGATATTCATGGCTGCTGTTCAGGATGGCGACATCAGAGACAGTGTGACTCGGTATAGCAATTTCTGGGGGGTGCATTCACATTCATGTCCCGTTGCCAGGCTTCCCAACTGGATCTGGTTGAGCCCAGTAGAAACAGACTGCTGACTAGGTGGGGCTTTTGTCTGGTCCAGCATGTTCCATCTTATCTTCTTAATTGTGGTATTTAATTCAATGGAACCATGTTTTCAGACAGCACTAAGAATGATTTTATATTCTTCCATTTGATCTCTTCCTGTAAACCTTGGCTGGAGCATTGAGCCTTGCTGGAAGCAGGCAATGACCCCAGCATGGTGGTTGCTTATGCAGATACGCTTCCGACTGGTGCCTGCTTAGGAGGCCCAGATTTGAACCATGGTGTGAACATCTCAAGCAAAAGGGAGGACAAGAGCAAGGCTGTATCGCATTCCACATCTTAGTTACAGAGACAAAAGGAGACCAAATTGACCCCAATAAAACCAGTCTGCCGTTAACTAACACAAGAGGGACCGGTTACAACTAGCCTGCCCAACTCTAATTGATCTGCTAGATGAGAAGACGGAGGAGAAGAGAAAGAAGAATTTCAGTTGATTAATTTGCTGATTAGAAAGCTCTGTGCCCTACTTTTCAACCTTCACCTGCTGACGCAAAACAGTAAACACTGCAGAGTAAATTTATGCAGAGTAAGAGAAATCATGCAAATGTGTTCACTTTGCATAATCACACAGGTTGCAAAACCCAGCTCTTCCTGTCAGAAAATTTAGCTTTTTTTTAGCATCAGCTTTTCATGCATTCCTCTATTTACCATTGCAGAATCTGCGTACACACACTTGCACAGCCTCTCTGTGTACATTGACATCAGACTCGGTAGAGGGGTTGGGGTGGACAATCTGTTTATTTTGGGAGTGGTGATGCCACTGCCTCTCCCATCCCACACATCCCTTTGCTTCAGTGAACTTACCCTATGGTGCACCCAGGCTCTGCCTCAATTGTCCAGACACAGTTGAGGTTATGGTCATAAGGTGTTGGGTATCCTGGAGACAAGACCCTTCCTGAAGTTTCACTTTTAATACTGCCTCCACACTCCGCTGAAAGAAACAACACTGTGATGGAACATCAAGCAAGAATGGCAGTCCCCATCCCATAAAGTGTTAAGTCATCCACCCATGCCACCAAAGCCATATTTAGATCTTTTTTAAAAAATGGTACTGTGAAGATGCTGATGCCCACTCTGTTCATAAAGAAACAAATACTTTATAACAATTTCAACAACACTGGCCAAGGTTCAAATACTATACTTTGCTCTGAAATCTTATCAGAATCTTCTACTTCCCTTCCCACTGCAAGTTTGCCTAGTGCCATAAAGTTGCTCCAGAGCATTTCTCAGCTCCCCCGGTAGCACTTTAGGGTGTGTGAAGGGCTGGAGGATTGATGGGGCTGCCAGTTCTGTGGAAAGCAGAGGGATCCAACAGATGTACAGCACCACAGCTTGACCACGGCTGCTGCTAATATATTCCATTTGACACATGGATCAATGTGCATGTTTGTACACACACACACACACACACCCACACACACCCACACACACACACACACACACACAACACACACACACACACACACACACAAACATCTGTGTTAGGTTCTAACTCCTTACTAGGTAAAATCCTGAAAACATATTGGGAAACCAGACACTTTCACATGGATGATTGTATCTAACTCATTAAAGCAAAATATTGTAGCAAAAAGAGAGCTTGATTTGTATCCACACAGGATACTAAAAGAGACAAACAACGCCTTTCTTATTGATTACTTATTTAACTTGAAAGTTATTGGAAAAGGGGCAGGATGAAAACTGAAAGGGAAACACTAGCAATTAAAAATGACGACTGGCATTTAAAACTGGATTGGTTGAAGCAAAACAGTAACTAAATCTTCTACACAAGAACTGGTGTCGATCAATTCCCCATTTTCAGAGCTGCTGCCCACCTTCTAATTAACTCTCTCTACTCAGAGTAGCCTTTAGATTGATTAGCCAGAAATCACTTGTTAATTCCCATTGGAGTAGACCCGCTGAGTCCCTGGGACTTGGTTAAGTCAAAACTTACGTAGGTTTCATTGATTCAATGGATTTACTCTAGTTGAGTCTAATAATTGGGCTTAAATAAAATTGTAAGTCTTAAGTAGATCCAATAAACCAATTGATGAACAGTATGACAGCACATATCTAAATCACATTGATTTAGATAGTTGGGAGTAGCAACTGGATTTAGGTCATGGATTTAGTTCCCTTTGACCCAAATATGAACTGGGAAAAACAGTTACGGAGCACAGGATAATTGAAGTCAGCAACTTAAGCTGCAGAAGCTACAAACCAAAGTCCTTGCAGTGTTGACAGAACAAATATATTAAGGCTCAGAGACATTCATGGCAACGGAGACTTGTAATGCCAACTCTGCCTAGGCAGTTAATCCAGGTTTTAGTTGGGATTTTACAGGAGCTCTTGAATGAACCTATGTATATGGGGGAAAGGTTCAGTACCATGGATAGCTCCTGTAAAGTTGCATTTACCACTCATATGAATCTAGAGACACCAGGCGAGGAAAGCGCTCTTTAAGCCTTAAGACAGTTCCCTTTTCTGGATCAATGATTCTCTCAAGGAAAGGCTGCGTAACATCAGTGCTAAAACTTACACAATCGGAGTGACGGTTGTAGAAAAGAAAGGAGTCGTACCTACACAGATGGGGAGTGGCTGATCCCAGGCTCGGCGCTCCCCCGTCAAACAAGCGAGGACCCGGCTCCCACGCAAGGTGTAGCCAGGGTCACAGTTGAAAGAGACAGAGCTGCCTGCAAAGTGTCCCTCATCGTGGACTTTGTAACCAAACTGTGGGACACCAGGGTCCTCGCATTTGATCAGCTCAAAACCTGAAAATAGAAGAGAGAAAAAAGAAGCTGGTGGCTTCCAACACTTGTGGCCAGCCTTTGTCTACATTTCAGCAGAGCCTGTTCATGCAGCAACTGTGGATGGAGGATCTTCATACATAGTTATGTCAATGGACCAAAATAAACAAGCACCAACACAATAGGAAGCAATGCAGAGCTGAACAGATATGGACTACAGTCTCAGCCACTTTGTGAACTAGCAGGATTTTCAGCCTAGGCTGCTCGGTGCCTACCTTCTGTTTTCAAAAATAAACTCCAAGGATTCCCCCTCTCATCACTGCCTCTCTGCTATTTGCACAAGGCTCAGAAAAGATCCTAGGCAACTGGCTGACCATGAACCAAAGGAGATCTTCAACTGGCCCAAGCAATGAGACCTGCCTTTCTAGTAATTAAAAACAACAACACCAAAAGCTTGCAGCTTAGCTGGTTCTAGAAAGGAGGGGCAAACTCCTAAAATATGCATACAGGTTTGTGCTTTGTTAATTTTTTTAAAAAAAGATTAGCATGGAACCCACACACAATGTGGGAAAAGAACAGGGGAAAGGGCAGTGAGAATTTAGGAGTTGTAGTCCAAAAAGACATATTTGAGATGCTGGGAGGAAGTCCATGGAGATGGGGATGGATCGTTCTCTACTTTCCATGCTGGAGACGTCAGTCTACTTTTCTCTAACTCAGTAGCTGAAATACTGATGCCCTAAGTTACATACACTACATAAGGCTGATGACATCATCAAGCATAATAACTTTGGGTATTTTTTAAGAAATAAAACTTCTCTGATTTCTGATTCCTCCCCCTCAAATGTCCTGGGAGTCCCTTGGGATTCCTTTGTCAGGAAACGGTTCAGGGTTCTGTGATGGGGGGGGGGCTTGGAACCTCCAGCTTCAAAAAATACCCACTGCTAGTAAAGTCATCCCAAGGATTATCCCAGGGACCCCATGAGAGCCTCTGGACCTTAAGGGGATGAGGGGGTGAGAGGTGGCATTGGAAATCTTTCATTTCTGAAAGATCACCATGGCTGATGACATCGTCGGCCTTAAATGGCATAAATTACAGTAACAGGATCCAGCCATTAATTCATTAATGTGAATTGTTTTAGTGAATATTCAGCGAATATTATCAAATCAATCAATTACATTATTCATTAGCAGCATCTTAGTGATCCATTGCTTTGAAATTAAAAGACAACTGAAAGCACTAAAAACGGCCAAACCCCTTGTCAAATTGACCCCGGTAACAAATTGATTTAATACGAAATGTTAATCTTTATGCGAACTGTTAATGTTGCTGAGATTAAAATTCATTATGATAATACGACATTACAAATCATTATGAAAAGTTGTAACAACCTGTTAGTAACAAAGGAATTTTTAATGAAATACTTCCAAGTGCAGGTTTTCATTTACAAAAGCAAAGAGACTGGCATGTATTATATTATTTGTATTATACTCGCATCTGTGAGATGCATGCGTTTAAATATCTCCTTTTTGTTGTTGTTGCACTTGTAGAAATACGTTGGGAGGAAGAACCATAAAAACAGTGGTGGAATAAATTTGTTGCCTGGATCATTCTACCTTTCTCACTAGAGTGGTAAATATTTGCTTGTAGCCTGAGCCTATTATTACGTGTCCTGCACTCTGTGTTGATTGAAAACAGATCCTGCCCTTCCTCTGTATGACAGCCTTTCAAGTATTTGAAAAGTGCTACTGTATCTCCCTTCAGTCTTCTTTTCTCAAGGCTAAACATGCCCAGTTCCTTCAGTCTTTCCTCATAGGGCTTTATTTCCAGTCCCCTGATCATCCTTGTTGCCCTCCTCTGAACTTGTTCCAGCTTGTCAGCATCCTTCTTGAGGTGCAATGTCTTGAACTGGACACCATACTCAAGCTGAGGCATAACCAGTGCTGAATAGAAGGGAACAAGAACCTAGTGGAATTTGGAGACCATACTTCTACTAATGCAGCCTAAAATAGCATTTGTCTTTTCGCAGCCACATCACACTCTTGGGTCATATTCAGCTTGTGATCTATGATGATTTCAAGATCCTTCTTGCACGTAGTATTGGTGAGCCGGGTGATCCCCATCTTGTAACTGTGTATTTGGTTTCTTTTTCCTAGGTGCAGTACCTTGCATTTATCCCTGTTGAATTTCATTCTGTTGTTTTAAGCCCAGTGCTGAAGCCTATCCAAAATATTTTGAATTTTGTTTTCCTGAGTATTAGCTATTCCAGTCAGAGGGACTGGTCTACTCTACAAGATCTTGTGAGCAGATGAAAACTGGCCATCGTGCTCATCACAGTTGTTCCCCCCTTATGCTTATTACCAGTGGTTCTTAACCTTTTTGAAAGAAACTCCCCCTTGAGCCATTGAGGAAGTTCTCATCGCCCCCCCTCCCCACGGTGATGATATTTATTTATTTATTTATTTATTTATTTATTTATTTATTTATTTATTTAGGACACTTAAATCCAATGACCCCTGAAAACAAAATTCAATTCCAAGAAAATGAAATGCCCCCCCAAAGTAACATTTAATAATTTAGTTGCAAGCGAATTTTAAGACGCAAAAAGAAATACAGTATAAAAAGGGCATAAAAACAAACTGCAATGCAGGAACTAAAAATTTCAAGACAAAAACTCTTCCCCTGATCATCCTTGTTGCCCTCCTCTGAACTTGTTCCAACTTGTCAGCATCCTTCTTGAGGTGCAATGTCTTGAACTGGACACCATACTCAAGCTGAGGCATAACCAGTGCTGAATAGAAGGGAACAAGAACCTAGTGGAATTTGGAGACCATACTTCTACTAATGCAGCCTAAAATAGCATTTGTCTTTTTTGCAGCCACATCACACTCTTGGCTCATATTCAGCTTGTGATCTACAATGATTTCAAGATCCTTCTCGCACGTAGTATTGGTGAGCCGGGTGACCCCCATCTTGTAACTGTGCATTTGGTTTCTTTTTCCTAGGTGAAGTACCTTGCATTTATCCCTGTTGAATTTCATTCTGTTGTTTTAAGCCCAGTGCTGAAGCCTATCCAGAACATTTCGAATTTTGTTTTCCTGAGTATTAGCTATTCCAGTCAGAGGGACTGGTCTACTCTACAAGATCTTGTGGGCAGATGAAAACTGGCCATTGTGCTCATCACAGTTGTCCCCCCCCCCATGATGCTTATTATAATGCTTTTCTTATATTGTATTGTATTTCCTTACTAGAAAACTGCAGCTCAAAGCCTTGACTTGTGCCGTTGCCATCTGTGATGAATTCAAGCCACATGGTGCTGGATGTGCTGTTGATGCTCAGACCCAACATGTCTGTTTGGCTGAAGGAGCCCAGGAGACGGGCAGAGTTGTTGTTACCATCAAAGATCTGGAAAGAGGAGGAAACATTACATACGGGAGAGGGGTTTCCCCCAGACTCCCCCCCCAACATTTTTGATCAGTACATAAAATCCATATACAAAATATACATTATCCATAAAATAGATGGTAGTTGGGGTTATACTGGGAAGGCTTGCAGAAAAATGAATAGTTTCAAAAAAATACAGAAAAGCAAAAATATTTGGAGCATGTACAATACAGAAGAGTATTCCAGAAAGTGAATGCCATCACTGAGTCATGGCTTTCTATTAAAACTTTATTTTATTAACTGAAATAATCACTGCGTTAAAAGCTGCAGCCTTATTAATGACTCATGACAAGGTCAGGCTGTCACTCACTGCTCTTTTTGTTTCTACAATGTCTCGTTACTCACTGCTATTACTCTTCTCTCCTTTTTGTTTGTGGGAAGATATAATGTCCCATTTTTTCTAGCAATAATCTGGATTGAGAGGCTGAGAAGTTAACAGAGGAGGTGTCTAGCCCAGAATCCGTCCCCGAGCCTGTGAAGATAGACCTGGCCAGCCCTGACATCCCCAAAGCCCACAACAACCTTGCCTGTTCTTGGGCTTTGCTCCAGAGCTAGGGCAGCCCCGTATTCTCCTAGCAGTCCAGAAGCCAGTAAGCCCAGGCCAGCTGCCTGCTTGACAGGAGCTCCTAGAGAAGTGGCTTCAGATCAGGAAGTTGCTCGTTTGCGAGATGGGAAAGGGTGGTTCCTGGAGGGAGCCATTATCATCCAAGACCTTGGAGCGACAGGGCTAGTGGGAGCTATCCATAGTGCTGAATATCCTGGCTGCTTTGGTGACTCAGCACTTTGCTTTAACAACAGCACTTTGCTTAGAACTGCAGAGCTGCAAGGGACCCTATGGAAGATCCGAGTCCAGTCCTTGTCAAGAAGGCACCGTGGGGGAACCAAACTCACAGCTTCTGGCAGCACAGCCAGAGACCTAAACCACTGAGCTACCCAGCAGGGAGGGGAAAGATGGGGGAAAAAAATTCCAGGAGGGTCATTTTTGTAAAAACTTAAAAACCAGAAAGATAGGACATGATTTTTTATGAAGTTAAATGAACTATAAGAATAGCCAGCCCTGAAAAACAATCCCTCGGGATCATCTGAAGTCCCAAACTGGGTAGAAGCTGCTACCTCAACTTTTGCCGGCCTCTACTGGAAAATAATTCTTTTTTTTGTCGCATATTTAACTTATGAAATTCCCTGCCTTAGAAGGCTAAGCCTGAATTTTTCTTTGACAACAGTTGATCACACGGGGAAGAACATCTTGCTCATGCAGGTATTTGTTTTATGCAGTGGGTAAGTTATGCATGCTATCTTTATGTTAGATCTGCTCTGTGTTGCATCGTTGTTGCTCTTTTGAAATTTTATGGTATTTTAGGGTTGATTTCGGTTAGTTCACCTCCCTGAGCAGTGTGTGAGCACCAGAAAGATAGGACATGCTTTTTTATGAAGTTAAATGAACTATGAGAATAGCCAGCCCTGAAAAACAATCCCTCCTGTAAAAAAGGAAAAAGCAGAGGAAGTGATCTGTAACCATGGGGACAAAACATAGATGACTAAATCTAGTTGTTACTCCCAAGCGGGGGGAAAAAGTCATTGAACAGGTTGATCCAACAACATGCAGCTTTTTAACTACTTTAGTTAGGATTAATAATTGGGTGTAGGCCACAAATTCAAGACTGCAGTTGTCAGTCGCATGCTAATATTTTCGAAAAGCGGATACAAGTTTCCCAGAACTTGCCTTTAGAAAAATAAAACAAAAACATGTTGATAGCGTTTGATGGAGGCTTTCTCCAGCAAAGTTTGAGTAAATCTGAGTAGCCAACGTTTAACAACTCAATTTGCCCCTGATAAAACAACATTTTAGTAGCACCTTTCTGCTTGGCAATATTGCACATTCTGTACTAAGTAATTTGGAAACAAGTCAGATTTCCACCATGCTGTTTGTTTAGCTTTCCTTCTCTTCCACTACTGGATGATGAGTCATTACCTTGAGGACATCCCGGGCCTCTAAGTCGAAGGCCCTGGCTTTGAGCTGAATCCCTTTTCCAGGCTGCGTCTGGATGGAGTAGATACATTCATGGTCGTTGTTGTAGTTGAGCGGATAGTTCGGAGACAAAAGAACACCTTGAGTCCCAGTTACAGAAGAACCACATTCAGCTATAAAGGAAGGCAGAGTGATTGGATTTTAAGATTTATGGGTATGTTGGTGACTAAGAGCATGAGCACAGAGTTCAGTGCGTCATCTGCCTGTGCTTGAAGGCAAACAAATGTAGGCACACCTGCAAGTGAGTGAACAGACCAGAGTCTTGGGTCCATGATGAAGTACATGCTTCCATGTGTCATAAAGCAGTACTGTGGGTCAAACCAGGTTTCTCGTACACTCCTACAACTGCCATGGTGGGATGTCAGAAATCACCCCTTTCTGGCCATCAATAATCTCTTGAAAATCTGAAGACCAATAGAAGATACTGCCACTTCATCTGCAGTGGAGCCAAATGGTGGAAAGCTCAATCAACGACACTGAAATATTGGCTGAAGCAAGGAGCCAAAAAAGATGGTGAAAAAAACCCTTTACTCCCAAAGAGCTGATGTGCCAGAGAAGGACAAGGATGACATCAGCACTCAAACTGACACTGTCAGCATGAGCAGCACCAATGCTGCTGCGTTTGTGGTTTGGGAAGGAGATTTAGGAAGAGCACCAGACGTTGCCTTCCACATCTAATTCCTGGGAATATCCCCAGCTCTCATCCCCAGGAAATCTCTCCTGTGCAAATCTCTCCTGGTTGGAGAGAACTCCCCTTCAACTGTATATACATCTGACACAGGGGAGGAAGAGACTGAGGGGACTTAGATGGGCACCAGTTCAGAAGCAGGCGACACTGAAATCACTCTTGCCTCTGTAGCTGCCCTTGCTCCACCAGCGGCTGGACGTATAAGTGATGAGGTGGTAGCAAATCCTGTTAGAAACATGCAGTCCAAAAACAAAGCTCTTAAGAAGTCACTCATCTGGAAGCATTTTCAACAGCCTACAACAGATGTTCACATGGCTGAATGGATGCACTTGCAAGAAGGTGCTCGAGCATGGGCAGGACTTGGGCCACCTCTCCAAAGGTAGCTTGCTTAGCCACCTGAAGACTCAGCGCACAGGACACCTGCTGCTGGGAAATGAAGTGGGTACTGTGGGGGCAAGTGGCTTCCTTATTGGGAAGGGTCAGAGTCATCAGAAGGCAGAGGTTCCCAGTTCCTGCTGTTCTTTTCCCATCCTTCCTGCTTCTTGTCCTCGCTTCCTCAATCCATGGCAACAGCACATCCCACAACCCCACAGTGGGCTCGCCGCTTGCCCGAGATACGGTAGATTGCCCAAGCAAAATTAAAGCACGTGACCACCTACCAACACACCTTGGCAGAGGCGAACTCCACACACGCCGTCTACCGCCCAGGCAGGTAATGCGCGAGACACCTTCCAGCCGATACCCAGGGAAGCAGGAGAAGGTCAAGACGTCCCCCACGCCGAACTGAAGGCCCTTGCGGATGCTGTGAACCGGCACCTCTGGTTCCTCACAAGGTTCGAGGTCATATTCTAACAGACAGATACGAGTAGCCATGACATCTTCCAATGGCCCATTAGTCTGTGCCCCACACCACCCAAGGCTGAACATTTACACCCATTGACCCTTTTAATCAGAGTTCATACAATCAAACCTCCTCCACTGTTTCTGTCTATCCATATCCTTGCTTGTAGGAATCTAGCAAGCATCCTACCAACTGTGATAATTAAAAAACCTTAAAATAATTAATCATCATTAAATAGTCAATTATTAATTATTAAATCTGCCTGTGAGGAGAAACCACTGGCCATAATCCTATTGCCAATTTATTCCCTGTGTAAGAGAGATGATGTAGTAAGTCTTAGCAGCCACTTGCCACTTGTTAATGAGGTGCGGGTTGGGTTCCGGAACTGAGAACCAGGCATGCAACCAGCACCTTCTTAATGAGCTGCAAAGACTTAATGTGATTTCCCTTCATGCAGATGTAAATCAATGATAGGGTATATAACATGCACATAAATGGAAACACCACCCTGCAGACAATAGGGCTAAGAAACTGTATTGAGTCAGGACTGCTTTGATTCATGCCAAGAAAAATTTGAACAGGGAGTCAATAAATAAAGAGATCGTAGAAGGTGCTTTTAAAAAGGGGTCAAAGAGAATGCTATTAGCTACTGTAGGACTGTAATTCTGAAAAGCCTAATGCCATTTTATGTCCCACAAAGCAGGTGGGGGGGGGAGGGAATTGCAGAACTGAAGCACAATAGGCATCCACACTCTCTTAGTCACGCTGAGAGGTCCAAAGGGAAATGATGGAGAAAGGCACTCCCCCCCCATCGTGTCCAGAGGGGATTCCACGTTCCAACCCCTACCTGAAAAGGTGATGTTGAAGCCCTCATAAGAAATGGAAAAGTCAGAGATGAAACGGATTTGAGCAGAGAAGTTCCCAAAGAGGCCGGCACTGAATGGGGCAGGGAGGCGAGAGCCGGTGAGCTGTTCCAGTGGCTGGCTGAAGCTGCCGTTCTCGGTGATCAAGAGGTAGTCATGACCACTCTCCAGGTGAAAGGTATGGAATGTGAAGAAGACACCTGCGGAGTGGCAGAAAGGCAAGTCATGTCTCCAGTTGTGATGCGCTCCGTTTTGGATTAATGGGGGTAACGTTATTTATTACATGAACATCTCACCTATCTTCCGTGGAGTTCAATATCGGCTCTTCCCTCCAACATTTTAACCCCACAACAACCCTGCGAGGTAGATTGGTCTGAGAGAATGTTACTGGCCAAAGGTAATGCAGCTGGCTTCATGTAGGAGCCACAGAGAACTGACCTGCCATATCCTTCCTGCATTAACCAGCGTTTACTTAACAAATGAGAGAGATGTGTTTACCAGTCAAAACCTTTATTTTCTCTGATCTGCCAGGGAAACTCATGCAGGGACAGGGTGGCTACTTACACATAACATTGAGGACTATCTCCTTTAAAGGAGGGCTTATGGCCACCTTAACTTCATGGCTGAGTAGGGATGTGAACTCAAGTTCTGATCCTGTATTCTGACCATAACACACCAGTTCATTTTTGCAACTCCCCAGGTGGTAGACCAGGACATTTATCCCCGTGCGGCATCTGGAGCATTAGAGACTGGTGTCTCGCTGGAGGCCACCTGGAGAGACTCAAGGTTAGAGCCACTGCCTGCCGATTTTTGCAGCTCAGCCTCCTAACCACCACAGTACACCAAGTCGCCCACGATCAAAGCCCACAGAAAAAAGACTTCCACATCAAACAGAAAGAATTTCAGCAAAAAGCAGATCACACACGGAGCAGGGTGTCATTAAGCGATAAAATGGGCTCTGCAAATCTAAAGGCAGGATTGCTCTGAACATACACAGTAGTAAAGCAGGCTGGGGAGGGGAGACCCTCTGCCTATGTTACAAGCCAGTCTTCTGATTTTTCCTCGTGTGATCCCAAGACGGTCACCTGGCAGACTGAAAACAGGCTGCCCGGGTGAAACAGAGGCTGGCTTTTCCTTATTTTCCCATAACTAGGTCTGAGCACAGAAATTGGTCATGCCAACGTCAGAGCTCTCTAACCTCTTACCAATTTGCTGGGTTTTCTTTCTTTCTGAATCATTTTCATATGGTGCAGAAGTAGATTTATTTTTAAACTGCAATTTTACAGCTCATTAGTCTGTAATATAGATAAGTTCTTTTGGCCACACAGGAAAAAGAGAGAAAAGGACAGAGAATCGTATCTCGGAGGCAAACAGAGGAAACAAGGTGTCATCAACTGAAGTGCTAAGATCTCGGGTTAAGTCAAAGCAACATGTTTGATACAAATGAACACTAATAATACTAAATAAGATTGTTAAAAAAACAACCCCAAACACATATTCTCTGAGAAGCGATTACCATTTTATTTCGAATCTCATCCGACCATATTGTTTCCATCATTATCCTCAGGCTAATCATTCTCTGGAGATATTCTTGGATTTCAGTTCCTATCAACCCAACCAGCATAGGCTACAGCTAAGGATAAAGGGACTTGAGACTTGAAAGCCATCCTTTCAATTGATTCATTAAGAGGGGGTGGGTGGGAGAAAAGGCAGTTAAGAGGAATAGAGGGGTACAGTGCTAACAAGGAACCAATAACTCCGAACAGAACTCCCCCAAAATGGATAGGTATTTATTAAACGGGTGAAATATGAGGTCCAGTAGTAAGCAGAGATGGGGATTTTGGATTTCTTGGGCTACAAATCCCATAATCATCCACTATGGGAGTTCCAGCTGACATACAGACACCAAAGTGAGGCTCATCTGAGAGAAAGCCCTCATCTAGAAAGCTCGGAGAATGAGCTAGGTGTAGCTCCACCCAAGCTTCCAGTTCCTGTCTGTGCTAGTTTTCTTTCTGAACAGGAAGCTAGGCACAGCTAGGCCAAGCTTGGCCTCAAAGCCTTCCAGTTGAGAAGGCTAACCCTAACCCTTTTCCCAAGTAAGCTACATTTAGGTATCTGTAAGGTCAGACAGAACTTTAAAAATGGAGAACTATGGATCTGTAGTCCAAGAAATTAAAAAAACCCCCATCTCTAGTAGTAAGTCACAAGTAGAGCAGAACCATTAAATCAGTGGGGATTTGGTGAGTCAAGTCTTCCATAAGTTTAATTGATCCAGTCAGCCTACTCTAGTTGTGACTTACTACTGGATTTTAGCCAAAGTATTTTTCTTTTCCTAGGAAAGATTTCTATTCCAGTAAGATTGCTATTTTTGGCCCAACAGTTGACACTGAAGAATACTAGTGCTGTAATAAGAGTAGATTTTTCAGTCTATTTCACATGAGCAGTTGTGACACTTGCTTCCCACTATGTAGTGGGGGGAAGAAGGTGCCCCAGATGCAAGGCACAGCACATCACTCTTCCCGCAATGCTTCCTGATGTTCATGGTGCCCCTGAAACATAGTTTCAGAGGTGAGTAGTTTCCCAGTCATGGAGGAAAATCCACGAGAGGTGAACCTACTTACTTTGCAGTGCGTTTTTGAAAAATGGCCCACCAAACTGGCCAGTCCATTTATAGGCAGCAAATCTGAGAGGGACGTTTCAGAGATGGGATGAATTAAGTTCAGGTCAGCTTACTAGTTTCAGATCTGACTGTCTTATCATAGCAGATTTATCTATCTCAGGGAAGGTTACTTTGGACTACAACACCCAGAATCCCGCAGCCAGTTTAGACAACCGTCCATATCTCCCTACACCCCAAACCGGCAGTGGTCCAGAAAAGGCAACTTTTCTAAAGTCCTGGTCTGTCTGTCTAACGCTAGTAATAATGGGGCTCTCTAAGGCAGTTTCTGCCTATCATTTCATTTCCCCAAAGCGAGCCAAACAAATTGAATCATTGAAGGGCACTGAGAAGAAATAAAAAAAGCAACTACCACAAACAAATAAATAGTGGGTCCAGTGGCAATGGCCTTTTTGAAAAACTATTTTGCTTCTGCAGGAATAAAATGAAGGAAATCATACAGCTAAAAGAGCAGAAAGAAATATTCATTTCCCAAAATTGTTATTGTGCCGTCAATTCAACTCTGAGCTATGGCAACCCTATGAATTAATAATAATTGCTTACCATCAAGTTGCTTCTGACCTAGGGCAACTCTATGAAATAGCAATAATAATTTCCCAGGGTTTTTTAAACATTATGCAAATGTGATCTACTATTCTTTCCTTCGGGGGGGGGCGCGATCAGGAGGCATGGTGGGGAATCATACTCCCAACCCCTGACTCCACAGCAAGGCACCCAAGCCATCCGTCCAGCTATCCCTGTGAATTAATGACCCCCAAAAGGTCTTCTATGTAAGGCTCATGTCTTGCAAACTCAAGGCCATGGCTCTCTTTATTGAGCCAACATTTGGTCTTCCTCTCTTCTTGCTGCCTTCCACTGTTCCCAAAGGTACAGGTGGAAAATCTACTATGTAACATTTAGTACATCAAGGTAAAGTGATAGAGTCTTGTTCTACTGGTTCAAGAAGGACTCCAACTGACTGTGAGTACAAATGGCATCTTGGCAGGCCCTAATAAAGACCTCTGTTTGTAGTGACTCATTCTTAAATTCAGGATGTTTAGGGAGGCACTTTGAAGCCCATTATCCACAGAGGGCAGTTATGTGGTTCCTTCCAACGATGGTTCCTTGCAACCTTCTAGCCCAAACTGAACAAGTTATAGATTATCTAAACTAGGACCAAACACCAAAACATGCCATTGAAAGCACTTTGACTGACTTCACAGTAACTTTCTAAAGGATTATACTCTTCCAGGAACACTCAAATGGGCCAACGGCCTGTATTTTGTCCCTTATATCAGCAATCTTTCATTGGCTAAACCAGCCTTCCAGAGTCCCTGAAGATTTGGCTGACCACATTTCCCTTCCTCCTGACTAGAGAGAGGCACAAACTGATGTGTCCCAGTTCATAAAGGCAGCAGCACAGGTGCTGCAGCTCCCTTCCCTTGCCTCCTTTGGCTCAACCAGCCACTCTCCAAGGCCAGCTTGCTTGTTTTTTCCACCTCCCTCAACAGATCTCCCAGTCCCGGCAACAGCTCAGGCTTCTCTGTCCTGCCTTCTTGGCTGATCTCCCACTCAGACAAAAGTCTGTGCTCTTGCTTGTGACTGAGCTGAAGAGGTGCTCATCTCTGAGCTCATCTCTGCTTCTGACTAGAATGGCTGATGCCTGTGCTGACGGGGTATGATCAGGGTTGTAGCCCAGTCCGTATGTAGAGTGTGCAAAGTAGAGAAGACTGAGACAGCTCCTCAACCCCCCCCAAGCAAAAACAACAAAATAAAATCCCTTCAGTTCTAGGGTGCAACAAGAGGATCATTTTGGTTAGGTTCTCTTTGTTAAGAGAACTTAATGCACATGGAAATGTGCAAATTTGACAAGCCTTTCTTTAACAAATGACATTCTCCTCCATTCCCATAGTTCGGAAACATTACCTTCTGAGGCTACAACACCCAGAATCCTGCCCAGTCTGCATGGGGACTCTATCCTGAGAGTTGTGGCCAAAACCGAACAAAACTAACGATTCAAAGCTCCTCTCTCTCCAATCTAGCTCCAGTTTTCAGCAGTGACCTTCTGTGTAGGGACGAGATTGCTGTTTGGGGTTGATCAGTGTCTGGGAACTGTCGTGATCAAATGAGTGTTCAGCAGGAGCAGGGAAATGGGGAGCGGCTTGGTGCAAAGCAACTGTGTACAAAAAGCCAAGCCAAAGCCTCAAAGCTTTGATAGCATGAGCTTGAAAAAGCTAGCAACTTAATTCCAGTGGATAACAGAGAGAACCATGCTCAGATTTAGCCGTGTGCAGCTGTTTCAAAGGCAGACATGGTGTGCCTTTGCGAGGGTGGATCAGAAGCCGCGAGATGCTTGATGTTTGAATGAGTATGTTTCTGTTCCCTTGGCTCTGTCCCCTGGAGACTGCAAGACATGGCGCCTCTCTGCCACTTTGTGCAAGTCAGGGGAAAAAAGACAGCGTAAGCACGTCAAAGCTCTGGATAATTTGGAGCAAAATGAGGGAGGGGCCCTTGATAAAACTGAGCCAGGATCAAGGTGTCAGT